CCAAGAAGATTCTACGCCTCAGTCCTCAAGACCTTGGCTAAGATGAGCTATCACATCCATGAACACAGTACTGGTCTTCATTTGGGCTGTTATAACAAAATATCGTAGACTGGCTGAAACAGACATTTATCATAACAGCCATATGGCCAGGAATTATGTGGCTTCTTGAAATTCTGGAGACTGAGAAGTCAAGGTACCGGTATGGTCGGGTCTGATGAGGACTCTCCTGCTGGTTTACTCTCCTCCCTGTGTCAGTAAGAGACAGAGGCAGGGAGAGGGAGAGAGACAGAGAAAAAGAGAGAAGAAGGAGGAGGGGGAGAAAGAGGGAGGGAAAGAGCACTCTGGTCTCTTTAAGGACAATAATTCCATGATGAGGGGAGACCGATCTCCAAATACCATCACATGGGACTTAGGGCCTCAACATATGAGTCTGGAGGAGGACATAAGCGTTCAGCCCATAACATTACCTTACCTAGCAAAAGGGACTATGCAGATGCAGTTAAGATTGCTAATTCATTGACATTAAGATAGGAAAATTTACTTTGTACTCCATAAATATATACAATTATAAACTGCCAATTTATAATAATTTCTTTTAAAAGGAAATAAACTCTTAAAAAAGGAAGAAAAGGGTAGGTGAAATGACTCATGCCTATTATCCAGAAGTTTGGGAGGTCAAGGCAGGAGGACCACTTGAAGTCAGGAGTTTGAGGCTAGCCTAGACAACATAGCAAGACCCTATCTCTACAAAAACAAAAATTTAAAAATATTAGCTGGGCATGATGGCATAAGCCTGGATTCTCAGCTACTTGGGAGGCTGAAGCAGGAGGATCACTTAAGCTCAGAAATTTATAATAAGCTATGATCACACCACTGCACTCCAGTCTGGGTACCACAGTGAGACCCTGTTTCTAACAAAAATACAGAACAAAATAAAAAGAAAACAAAAGGGGAAATGGGGGGATTGCCCTGGATTATCTGGGTGGGACCAGTTTAATCACATGAATTCTTTTCAGTTGAGCCAGAAGGCAAAGACAAGAATTCAGAGAAATTTGAAACATGGGCAGAACTGGACACACTGTCGTTGGCTTTGCAGGTGGAGAAGCCACAGGGCCAGGAATGTAGGTGGCCTCAAGGGGCTGAGAGAGTGTCCTTGGCTGACAGCCAGCAAGGAGACAGGGCCCTCAGTCCCACCACCACCACCACAAGCAGGAATGAGCTTGGGGCAGATCCTGCCCACCAGCCGGCCAACACCTTGATGCCAGCTTCAGGGGATGAGACTCCAGTTGAGCCCACCTGGTCCTCTGACTTACAGAAACTGCACGTTCATGAACAGTTATTGTTTTAAGCTACTAAATTTGGAGTTATCTGTTTCATAGCCGCAGAAAACTAACACACAGTATTTCAGTAAGGCGGAGGAGTAAGGCCGTGTTCTGCGGGAGCTACAGGCACGAACACAGACACACATGGAGCCCTGCCATGCAGGCCCAGCCTGAGAAAACAAGTGTGCAGGTGGCCCCGCAACTCAGCCTGAGAGCCACGTACACGGTGAGAGGAGGAACCAAGACTTCCAGGAAAGCCACCTGCTCCCCACGCCCCAGGCTGTTGCCTGTCAGGAAGGAACACACACTCAGTGTGGCTGAATGATCCTGCTTTTGAAGGTAGCCCGGACATCCAATTTTTTATGTAAAATGTCCCAATTCAAACTTTAATAACACCGTACTGACCAGCCTTGTGTGTGTTCGGAGCCAGGTGCAACCTTCTTGGGCACCAAGGATGGGAGTAAAGGCGGAAAGGTCCCTCAATGGAAGACAGCATGAAAACCCCAAGAGGGGAGTTAGGGGAGGCAGTCAGGGGCCAGTGAAAGTCCCTTGTCCCTTCCCCTCACTGATAAGAGAAAGGGACTCGCATTTGTGGGAAACGTTCCTCTGGCCCAGGACTGTGCCCAGCATGGCGGGACGTGAGCTCCCAGGCAATCTTCTGGGGTGCAGGCTGATGGCGAGGGCTGCTGAAGTGTGGCTGCCCTGTTTCCACGTGAGGAAGGTGGGGCTGTGGAGAGGGCAGCCATGAGGTAGAGACCCTAGGCTCAGAATGATGCTTCTGATTCCAAAACCTGAGTCCTCCCAGCCACTCCACATGGCATCGTGGCATCATAGCATGGAGCATTTTGTTTCTTTTGATTGACAAGAGTTTGCTGCTGTGTTCCCAGAGGCCCGGGCTCCTCTCTGCTCCCTTGCTGGATGCTTCCCTCTCCCGGCTCCAGGCCCTGCTCCTCCAGCCCTCCAGCCAAGCCTCCCAGGTTCTGTGGGATTCCACTCTCACTGCTTATCTGTAGTTCAGTCTCTCACTTGCTAGTTCCAAACTCTTGAGGAAGGGTCATCTTTCTGTCCCAAGCCAAAATGCATCATAGGTCAGATGTGAGCCCAGGCATGACCCTGTGTAAACGGGTGACCCTCTCCACCGGCTCCCCCATCTCAGGGCCAAACAGCAGAGGCTGCGGTCAACACATGTAGGGGCAGGACCCCCAGGTAGCAGGGGCTGGAGTGAGCCACTCCCTTTATGGGGGCACAGAAGCTTCCCACACACCTGCTGGCCCCAAGCCGACATTCACAAGTGCAGCTGGCCTGGGGCAGCTGGACCAGCGGAGCCAACAGCTCCCAATGGTGCTTGCCATCCATCAGAGGCCTCAGAGCTCTCTCCAGCTGCCCTGGGGTGGAGGCCGTGGGTGGAACACTCTGTGCATCCCCCATTTAATCCCGTAGTGAGGAAAGAAGCCAGGATGCCGGGAAGCCCGCCAAGTTCCCAACACGCCCCTCAGCAGTTTCGTGCCACACAGGAGGGTGCTCACTGGGCAAATGGGCTCTTCCTTTTCCATGGGGAGATGATATTCTATTAGCAACAAGCCCTCACTCTGCTTTTGTCTAACATGGAAAATACCAGAAGGAAGGATTTGGGGAACTAGGCCTGTGGTGAGGCTGGAAGATTCACTTTGCCAAGAGAAGGGCAGAGTCATCACAGATCTCAGGAACGCAAACACTCGCAGACTGCGTTGTGAATGGAGGGTGGCAGGTGCTTAAGGACAGCTTTGTTCCCGTGTAACACACAGTAAGCTGCATGTGTGTACACGTACAGAAAGTATACCATTTGACGTTTTGACTTCTGTATACACCTGGGAAAGCACGCCCACAATCGAGATGGTGAACACACCCATCAGTCTCCTCCTGACCATTCGTCGTACCTTCCCCACTCCCCACGACCCTCTCTCAGCAAACACTGATCCTTTTTTTGTCACTACAGTCCATATTTTCTTGTATTTTCTATAAATAAAATCATACAGTAATAAAACCAGTCAGTCAGTATGTGCTCTGTTCTGTGTGGCCTCACTCTACCCGGCGTGGTCCTTTTGGTGTCCACCCATGTTGGGCGTACTCTCCCTTTTTGTTGCTAAGTGGTGGAATAAATATTCCCCAGCCTGACAGGGCACAATTCGTTCATCCATTCTCCGGTTGATGGACTTCGGCTTACTTCCAGAGTAAGACTATTTTAAGCAGAGCTGCTGTGAACACTGATGTGCAAGTTTTTGCACTAGGTGGGACAATTAAGTTCATGAACTTATCCTAGAAATGGTGTTACACACTTCATGGCTGGATGTCACTAGGGTCACCAGATGGCCAAGGGGAGTCACTTTGACACTCAGCAATGAGATACGTAGCACTTTTCCAGGATGTTCGCTAACTTAATTGTCCAACCTGTGCTTTCTTGTGGGAAAATACCTAAGAATAGATTGGCTGGATCTTTCAGCAGGCATGCGTTTGAGCACAGCAGTTGTGATGAAACTTTCATCTGGGTTTCAGAGTAACCCACACTGTGCATTTTTAGCCTACAAGATAATGGCATGCACACTGCGTGTGAACCATGACAAACACACTCACCCACAAGGAGGCCACTGCAGCGGCAGCTGACTTCACTCCAGGCCTCCCAGACAACAGGTGAAGGGAAAATTCTCCCAGGATTCTGTAAAATCATCAATGCATAAGCTCCTAACAACATCAGCACTTTAGCAATGGCTCCCAGAGAGCTGTGTAATCTATCTCCAGAAGATCCTGTAAATAATGGCGACATCGAGTTGGTCTAGAATGAATACCGAAAGCCTTGGCATGAAGTGAAGCAGAACAGGGGTTTTCCAAGGGTGGCCCCACCAGCATCATCTGGGAACCTGCTAGAAATGATCATTCTCCCCAGACAAGACTAGCTGAGTACAAACTCAAGGTGGCCTTGGACGTTAACCAAATTTCTAGGTGGTTCTGATGCATGCTCCAATTTAAAAGCCACTGGCCTAGAACATCTGCCAAGTCCTTCAACTATCCTGGACTTGAATCCATCAGAAGTCATAACATACCAAGAGCATCATCCCTCTCCTGCCTGGCAACCTGACATCAAAGTCTCCACATGATGTGGCTCAGGGGGTAGGGTGCCAGCCCCATATGCCAAGGGTGGTGGGTTCAAACCCAGCCCCTGCCAAACTGCAACAAAAAATAGCTGGGTGTTGTGGTGGGCACCTGTAGTCTCAGCTACTTGGGAGGCTGAGGCAAGAGAATTGCTTAAGCCCAAGAGTTGGAGGTTGCTGTGAGCTGTGACAACACAGCACTCTACCGAGGACGACATAGTAAGACTCTGTCTCAAAAAAAAGTCTCCACATGAAGCCCCGACACCACGTGGGCTGCAGACCTGCAGGACGATGGTTATCACTTCCTCCCCCCAAAGCACCAGACTTTTACAAAGAGAAAGTAAAATTCTGGAACTCCATTATTGTACCATTTAAAGCCCCCTGTCCTAAGTGCTCATTTCTCTACCCGTGGCTTTTACCCTGGCATGAAGGGCAAAGAAAAGAAGAAGACAAAGATCTTAGGTGATGTACTGCAAAATACTTTACTGCTCTAGAACCCTCACTGAGAATTTGTACGTCAGCAGGAAAATTAATCACACTTGCATAGGAAGAATTTGAGTAAAAATAGTGGATATTTTTTACTTTAATCTTCAGATTAAGCATGATCCCCATTCAACATAATCAGAGAGTTCTTCCTTGGTATTTATGCATGCTTAAAATTTGGCCCAGTCTTTGAAAACCCTTTCCAGCTTCTGGCCAAGCAGAACTTTGCCACTCACTTTGAATTTTCCGGCCAGGAAAGCCTTCTGTGGGTTCATCTTACCCAAAACCAACTCCATGAAGACAGGCTCTGGGATTGTGAAGACAGTGTCTGCTGGGAGCCTGGCAGGGCCCGGGTACATGTCCCCAGAACCATTCTTCAGATCAATGGTCCACTGCAGAATGATCTTCCCATCTTTGGTGATGTCCAGCTGAAAGATGGCATTGACTTTCTTCACCAGCTGGGCTCCCACTTCCTTGATATGATGGCTAATGTCCTGGAACACAGGGAAGCTCTGGAACCCTGCCAGCTCCAGAGGAAGGGGCACAGCAGGGTCCTGGGCTAAACCCAGAACCTTGAGCTGGCCTGCCTGAGGCCCATCTCCTGCTTTGATCTTGGGTTGATGGTCAATTCTCTTCCACATCTTCCTGTGCTGGTCCTCTTGACCTTGCTGTCTGCTCTGTGAGCAGCTGCGACCAGGTTAATACCCACAGGTCAGATTGTGACATCAAAGGTAAGGCCCAAGCAGGGACTGAGCCTGGCGTGTGTGCCACAGTTTTATTGGCCAAATGAATGCTAACATGTGACATGAGCTGAGGGCTCAGAAGGAAGGTGTGAGGCCCACACACAAAGACACACACAGCCCAAATAAACAGGGATTGTTCATCCCACCACGCTGAAGGGTCCAGACTCTGCCATGAGGATGAGGGAAACTGGCACCAGAAGGTTCTTTGGGGACATGAGCTGGTCTTTGCAATGCAGGCATCTCCCGGGTAGCCACCCTAATCAGAGGTTATTCTGATTCCTCTGAAGTTGGTAATGCTAAATCACAGATCCTGGTGTGAACCTGGCTTTCTCTGGCTGCTGGTAGAGGGGTAGTGCTTTTAAACCAAAGTAGCAGATTAAAAAAGCATCAGCCGTAGCCAGGGTCCACATCAGAAACTTTCCAGAAGTGTCAGGGGAGAGAGAGAGAGAATGTCCCAAATATCAGCAGAAGATGCCATTTGTCTCACACGATGATTACATACAATGATGCTGCACCCCATGCTGAGTTCGGAGCGCAGCGCACGTGTTAGCACATTCAATCTTCATCACAACCTTCTGCGGTAGGTACTATTTTTATCCCCTGTTCTGCAGTTGAAGAAACTGAGGGAAAGAAAAATGAAGTGACTCGCCCGAGGTCACACCGCTGGTAAGTAGTGTAGCCAGACCTGAGGCCCTGACTTTATTAGCACCAGGAACCAGTTTCATGGAAGACAATTTTCCCACAGAGGGATGGGGGGTGATAGACAGAGTTCAAGTGGTGGTGCCAGCGGTGGGGAGTGGCTGGTGGCTCTAAGCACAGATGAAGCTGCTTCACTGGGCGCCGTGCTGCTCACTGCTCCCCCCATTCCTGTTTCATGGAAGACAATTTTTTCATGGGGTGATTCAGTGGGGGGACGCAGAACTATGCAGCCTCAATGCAGACCCTGCAGGTTGAGGCCCACAGCCCTAGAGAACTGGTTTTATTTCTTTGATTTTTTGTTTTGGAATAATTTCAGCCTTACAGAAAGTTTGCAGAAGTAGAGCCTAGTTTAAGCTGCTTCTAGTTTCCCCAAATGTTAACCCTCACTCACATAACCACAGCGCTGATGCTCTAGTCTCAGCAATCCCCCTGGGGACAGGACTGCTGACTGACCCCAGTGTTATGCCTCGTCCCACCAGCGTCCCCGTCCTGGCCCTGGGCACCACACCGCATTCAGTGTCAGGTCTCCCTGGTGTCCTCCAGCTGACGTTTTATTGACCAGTTTATTCCCTAAAACCTCCCTCACTTGGGGCCGGTCTGATGTTCTCCGTGGTTAGGTGGCAGGTGTGTGTGTTCTGCAGAAATGCCACAGCGGCACTCCTGCGCCCTTCCCTAGACACCCTTCCCAGGCCACCACCCAGGGCAACATGGTGTCACCTCAGGAGCTGCTGACCTTGGGCTTGATCGAGTGGTTGACGTGGGCCCACCAATTCTCCCCTGCTGTTACCGTCTTTCCTTTTGTTGTTGGTAAGTATCTTGCCGGAGGTACCTGGAGGCCTTGCAGAGGCCCTGTTTCCGTCAGACTTTAGCCTGGTGCATCTACATCCAGCCGTGGTCCACACCTGCCACAGTCAGTGGGGTGCGGCCACGTGGTCCTTCTCTGTCCCCATCACACCACCGAGGCTGCTCAGTGGGATTCTGCCATGAGGAAGAGCTGCCTCTTCTCCCTCACTTCTTTGTCCAGGTATTTATCTCAGTATGGCCTTGTGGATATTTATTTTATTCTGTGGGTCTTAAGCTATTATTAACACTATTTATTTTCTTGCTAAAATTGTCCCGGACTTGGCCATAGGAAGCCCTGTCAAGTTGCAGTCTGTGTCCTCTCTACAACAGACCTCTCTGATGTGCAAGTGGAGCTCCATTAAATGGAGCCACTGGTAGCTTTTTTCTTTCCTGGAGGAATATAGAAGAACATCAAGGGAACAATGAACCAGCTGGTGTCACCAACATCAAGCAGTGAAAAGAAACCCAACGGCTTCCAAAGCCAAGTTTGTACCATGAGGCCACTGAGTAACGTCTGCACAGAGAACGCAACATCAGGAGGGCAGACTATTCCCCAGCAAGTTTGCTGCAGGCAGCCAAAGGGAACTGAACCCCCACACACCTGTATCTGCTTTCCTTTCAGGACAGGGTTGTCCCATCTGAATTATTCAGACAGGTCCCCAACTGGGCTGTCATCTCCTCCCTCAGTGTGTCAGGATGGGACGCAGGTCCACAGACCAAACATAAGAAATCCAAAGCATGCCAAGACTCTAGGAAGCGCTTCATCAAAGACCACGTTTAGACTTCCTGGCACAGTGCGATGATACCAGTAGACCAGCTTTTAGTCTGCTTTGTCACTGAAAGTCTCAACAGATGACAGATTCGCTGCTCCCGACCTGCCCCCGGCAGGCTGCTTCCTGAGCTCTGACCAACCCACCACTGGCCCCTGGCAAACACGGACCCTCAGCTGAGATGCTTTCCCCTTTCCTTGCCACTCAGAGCCAACAGATTTGCAGCTTTCTGTTTCTGAATTCTTTAAATACTTTGAAGGAATATGAGCGGTATAGAGACCTATTCCCTAAAAAAAATAAAATAAAATAATGTTTAAAACTTGCCTTGTTGTCTTGTAAGGTTGTGGTGGGAGGAGCCACAGTAGTCCAGCAGCTGTGAGGTGGCCAGTGGGGGACAAAGCCAGCAGGCCAAGGATGGGTGAGTACAGGGTGTGCACAACAGACTTGAAACGACCTCCCTGAGCTACTGAAAACTTCCATTGTCAGAGCTTGGAGAGCCTGTTACAATGCAGACTGCTGGTGTGGTGGTCAGATATGTGTGTCAACAAGGACGGTGGGATTCCCAGATTGGGGGACACGTTATTTCTTAGCACGTCTGGGAGGATGTTTACAGAAGGAAGAGTTAGCATTTGAACTGGTGAGCTGAGTAAGCAGAAAGCCCTCCCCAGTGAGGGTGGGACCAACATCTGCTTACCTGGGCCCTGCTGATTCCAGGCACATTTTAAACAAGTCTAGACCTGGACTGGTCCCCCAGAAAGGCTCACATGGGTGCTAAGTACCAGCCCTGCTCCGCATCATGTGCAGGAACCTAAAGAGGGTAAAAAGAATGCTTTAGAGATATGTGACCTCTGCACCCAGGGAACTTACACCGTGGGCAGGAGAAGATGCCTACAAGCTTAAATATCCAACTGTGCCGAAAGATTTCTCATAACCACTTAGGGCCGAAGACTGTGAGGTGGTCCTTAGGGAACCCCACTGCACACCCATGACCAGCAGCCTCTTGTCTGAAACATACATGGTTCCCAGTGTCTTTACCTGTCCAGCCCCAGACAGAAAACCTGAAATAAGGATTCCAAGGATGGGAGGTGGAGTGAGGAACAGGGAGCTGAGATGGAGAAACAGAAGCGGGCCATGGAGGGCGTGTTCTCAAGAAGCTACCGAGGCCCACTGGGGTTTAATCTTGCAGGAAAACTCTAGGGAATCCTTGTTTGTCAAACAAGCGACCCCACCTCCAGGAGCGGCAGGGGAGCTTGGGTTTATCCACCCACCCACCCATCCACCACTGCTTCTGGGGACATTCAGTCCTGTATGCAGAGAAGGCAGCGAGGCAGGGTCAGCAGCCAGAGAAAGCCTTGGGCAGGGTACGGCCGCAGGCACCACTGTGGGGAGTGCAGAGTGTGGGTCTGCAACACCTGGGATCACCAGCCTCTGCTTTGGCCTGGAATTTCTCTGGCCCCATTATAACAGAAATAAATGGAATCCAACAGCTTGTAATAGGAAGATGTAGAAGACTGCACACCGTTGCATCCCTTTGTATGCAGTTCTACAAGAAGCAAAGTAATCTGTAATGACAGAAGGCAGATCAGTGACTGCCTGGGACTGAGGGTTGGGGGACGTTGAGGGGACTTTCTGCAATGATGGGAACATTATGTACTGTGGTAGTTACCCAGGGTGCACTTGTCAAAACTCCCCCAACTACATACATACAATTTATATACTACAAGTAAATTTTATCTACTTTCTTTTCTGCCACCCTGGGTGGAGTGCCCTGGCATTATAGATCATAGAGCCTCAAACTCTTGGGGCTCAAGATATCCTCTTGCCTCAGCCTCCAGTAACTGGGACTACAGGCACCTGCCACAATGCCCAGCCGCTTTTTGTATTTTTAGTAGACACAGGGTCTCCCTGCTACTCAAGCTGATCTCAAACTCCTGAGCTCTGGCAATCCACTCACCTTGGCCTCCCAGAGTGCTTGTGTTACAGGCATGAGCCACCTTGCCTGGTTTATCTACATTTTTTTTAATTTAAAAAATGTATGAGTGAGCAGGGTAGTTATTTGGTATGTGTAGCTTCTACAAGGGATTTCTGCACTGAGCCTCTACTTGGGAAGCTTTGCTAAAACATTTTACAAAATACCACTTTGTATTCCCACCAGCAAATGTATAAGAATTCCAGTCACTCTGTCTTTGTATATTGTATCCCCAGGGTGATGGGGTTAGGGTTTGGGGAGCTAATTAGGTTAGGGAGGCCATGAGACTGGGCCCAAATGATGGGAGTAGTACTCTTATAGGGAGAGAAGGAGACAGGAGGGTAGCCTCCATAGGGAGAGTGC